TTGTGTCAAGCACATTTGTACATTTGTTGCCATCATCATTCTCAAAACATTTGCTTTCTACCTGAGCCCTTGGTATCAGCTCTTCATTTTCCCCCTCCCTCCCTACTGCCCATCATGTGTCCTTGATAATTTATAAATTATTATTTTGTCATGTCTTACACTGTCCGACATCTCCCTTCACCACTTTTTTGTTGCCCACCCCTTCTACCACTCTTTTTTTGAAGTTCCTTTGTATATAGAATGTCAGCCAACAACAAAAAAACTAACTTCTCAATTTAAAAATAGACGAGGGAACAGATAGTTTTCCAAAGGTAAACAAATGATCAGGGCAAAAAGCCAAAAAGATGTTTCAATATCATTACATGTCAGATGTCATCAAGTTGGTCCCAACGTATAGCAATCAAATATGAATGAAATGTTTGTTGCCTGTCCTTACACATTATCTTCATGATAGTTTCAGTTCCTTTATTGAATATTATGTCAATCTAGCTCATTGAAAGTTTTCTTTGTATTGACTGGTGAACTCCACCAACTCTGACTTTCTTTTCTAGCAGTTGGCCTTTCTGGATGGCATGTTGAAAGTTAAGCCTACCCCAAACCACAAATGAGATACCATTGCAAAGCCGCTAAGATGGTTGGTTATCAGAAAAACAGAAAATAAGCAACCCAGTGAGGATGTTTGGTGCAGCCACTATGGAAAACAGCTCCCCAAAAAGTTGAGCATAGAATTATTATATACTCAACAATCCACTCATGACTTTATACCAAAGCTATCTGGGAGGAAGTACTCAAACAGATACTTACACATCAGTGTTTACAGCGCTACTCACAACAGCCAAAAATAAAGTATCAGATGAATACTGATGAATAAATAGTTTTATATAATATTTAGCCATAAAGTGAAGCGAAGTTCTGATTCATGCTTCAATGTGGGTGAAACCTGAAAACATCATGCTAAGTGGAATAAGACACACAAGGATAAATACATGAAGTGTAGAGGAGGCAAATGTATAAACACAAATTTTTCCCCTAATAAAATGATTAAGAAAAAAGGGGAAAAATTTTTTTTTTATTAGTGGCTAAGAGTGAATGAGGATTTATCGTTTAAGGTACACCGAGTTTCTGCTCAATGTAATGTAAAACTGGGGATTGAGGTGATTGTACAAAATGGTAAATGTCGTGTTTTGTACACTTAAAATAGTCATGACTGCAGATTCTGTTATTACAATAAAAATGTAAGAATACTGAATTAATCCAGATTTTTAAAAGAAGCAATGGAAAGATTTATCAATGATCTTGAAGCTCTCAAGAGCAAAATACAAGATCAAACCATAAAACACGTATCCACACACATTAAAAAAAAACAACTTACAGAAAACCTGAGAGTTCTATGGAAAGTTATCAAAAGGAACAACTTGCATTTGATCTTTTAGCGATATGGAGAACAATTTAATAATAGGACAATCAACCAAAATATAATCAACTGCATTGTAATTTAATAACACGTACCTGAAAAATCACTGATTAATTGAAGAAACAGAGAGCAATTAAAAACCCCACCCCCAAAACCCAACAACAACAAAATATACCATAGAAAAACTTCATTTGAAAGGAAAGCAAAAAATAAAAACTAGAACAATTTTGAAATGGGTCAAAAGGGAGAACAAATCATTAGGTGTTAAATTTTAACCTAACTGCATCTGCACTCATCCACATCCCAAAGCTTTCTGGTTGAGAGCAAGGTCATTCACATCTCTGGTCAATGACCAGAGGGAATTCACCGGAAGCTTAATTCACCTGAAGACTTTGCAAATCGATTTTGGGCTTTTGTTTTCATCCACAGCCACATGCAAGACATTCTGCTCAGCATTTACCCTCTAATACACTTCCCTCCAGTTTTGGATTTTATTATTTATAATCCTTGGGTCACACAAGCTGGTGTGCTTCTGTGTGGACTTGGCCGACACCTGACTTAGACAGCTGCTTGCAAAACAAGCCTTTAAGACCCCAGACACTATTCTTTCTGATAGCCAGCACCATCTGAGGTATTCAATTCACTGAGCTATAGTACCCATATCTTCAGTGATCTCTCCAGGCAGGCAGTTATCAAGTAGGGCTATGTCATAGGAACTAATTGTTCTTATATAAATGCTACAATTAAGTTCTTGCTCAAAATCCATTTGTATGTTTTATATATGTCCCTAATCTACTTTAGAGACATCATTATAATTTTATATTGATTTTATATTATAAACCATCCCCATGGAGCTGCTGGTGATTCTATTGATCACATTAATTTAGAATTCAGAATACTCTTGCAAAAAAAGAACATATACATATTTTTAGACCAAAATACATAGATTAAAAACAAGTTCCTGGACACAATACAAAAAATGAGGATTAGAAAAATAAGTCCACGTGGAAAAAGCACATTAGCCTGTGTGATCCAAGGATGATAAATAGTAAATCTAAATCCAAAAGAGGGAATGGTATGAGAGTGTAAATTGTGAGGACCTGATTTGCAGAAAGCAATGGATAACACTGGGAACACAAAACTCATTTTCAGGGTCCCTACATGGAGGAAGCCTATGGTGAATCCTCTCTGACCATAACTAAGAGATGTGAATAGCCTTGCTATCAGAGAATATCATAAATGTGATCATGCCAGATGCCATGAGGGTAAATTGTTAGCATTTAGTTGATCTCCATTTAGCCCATTTTAAATTTGTTCTAGATTTTAATACTTCCTGATTTTTTTTTCTCAATGGGTTTCTTCCCACCTCCCCACTTGATTTATTTTGTTATGATTGTTGGTCTTTTGTGGGGGGTATGTTTTCCAGTATATGAAGTCAGGGATGGGTGACGCTATAGAGACAGTAACTGAATTAGGGCTCATTGGGGGTTTTGGAGGTTGGAGAGAGTGGAGGGAAATGGGAAGCTAATAACTAGTACAAGAGGGAAGAAGATTCTGGACTGATTGTAGTGATGATTGCACAACTCTTTTAATACAACTGAACTGGAAGTGTGTGATATATAAACCATGTGTCAAACTATTTTAGTAATGAAGGTTAGAGATAAGCCAAAACGTTGAGAAATACTCATTCAC